ATTATAACGTGAAACATTACACTTTATTTTTTTTAAAAAAAGCTGAATGATGAAGAATGAACTGATCTCCCCTGTCTGATTATCAAAGGAACCGCAGAATATTTAAAGCTGTGTGTTTGACTTCTTTTACTGAGTATTATGGGCTCAAAGTGCATCTATTTTCCTGCAGACAATTCAAGTTTATCCTTCTGTATGCTAGAGTAGTACCAGTTATCTATATACCACACTTTCTTTACCATCTGTCTGTTGATGAATGTAAGGACCACTTCCAAGATTTAGCTCTTATAAACATGGATTCGCATGGATCTCTATGATATGATTTCTTCAAGAACAGTTGAGCTGATGCATTCAGATAAGAAGGATAACACCGAGGGTTGGCATGAGAGTGAGAGGAGGGAGGGCTCAACCTCTCATACCATAGAGAGGGGTCGAATCTTTTTGTCTACATTTACTGTCTGAAAGTAAGCAGCCATCAAAGTGGCTCAAAGTTTCGGTAGGACCCATCAGAGGAATCTTAAAGAAGTGGCATCTCTTAGCAGCCATAGAGAAAAGATGTTTGATGGATTGTGTAGACGAGCTGGTGAGCTGGCGCTGTACGGCCAGGCTGCTTTGCGTCACCACCGCCAGATGACACAAAAGACATCTGGAGCAGGAGGAGGGCGACTTACGTGGCTCAAGAGAGATCACTTACTCATTGCACACAGTGGCTTTCCAGGCCTGGGAGACTGCAGAGCTGTTTGCTTTAGATCTAAACTATTCTCCCACAAATGTCTCATGTGTTCAGAAGTGGAACTTTTGGTAGGTGATTGGATCATTGGGGCACTATGTTTATCTGTGGATTAACCCGTTAAGCAGTTTATAGTTGAATGTGAGGCTGTGAGGTGGATCCTCGTTGAAAGTGAGTCACTGGAGGCATCACATGGAAGAGTGGATTCTTTTTGTTTTTGTTTTTTCGGTAGCGGGGATCAAACTCTCGACCTCACACTTTCCAGGCTGGCACTGTACTGTTGAGCTATTTCCCCAGCCCAAAGAACGAACTCTCACACCTAGCTACTTCTGCATGTAAGCTGCTGTGGCTTGAGCAACTCTCCTCTCCCATGCCCTTCCGCCATCCCATTTCTTCTTCAGACCCAGCTGACCACACATGGACTGAATCTTTTGAAATGAAAAGGAAGAAAGTGTTGGAAATTTTATCCCACTGACAAAAGTGACTAGTGTCTTGAGCCATCCCCTTAATCTACCGCCTCTAAGTGAAAGAAAACAGCTGATTGGGTATGAAAGTTTCTAAGGGTGAATTGAAGGCACAACGTGTCTATCATTATTTTACCTGGGATGAGATGGAAGAGAAAAATATCACACCAGGTGCAACTATATTCATTCGTAAGCTTTGAAAATCAGGGAGTGGACAAGTCACGCCTACTGTGTTTTTCTCAGGGATTGCTGAATAGCTCTGGGACCTTCCCATTTCCCAATTTCCCTTGTAGTTGGTGCATTTAGTTCTGGTTCCTCGGATATCACTGAAGTTATGCAAGGCATTTCAAGACTGACTCATGAATATATTCTTCAAGATTCCTTCTTTGCCTTGGTGACTAGGAATCATCAATATGGCCCTGGGACAGGGTGAAAGAGGACGGGGCATCTGAACTGGACTCTATGTAGGCAAGAAATAAACCTCTCATGTGTCAAGTTCATTAGACTTGTCTGCAATAGTAACTGGGCTCGATTACCTTGACTTTGAAGTCTCAGACTTTTCATATCCCTCAAGTGTTGATATGGATGTTTATTCCCTTTGTTATCTTTCCCAGACTTCTTTTAATAATGATTCTCACCCTCTCATCCTTGAGGCTGCTTTTTTGTTAGCTTTAAAATATTAAGAATAGCAAGTTGGGTTTAAGCATAACATATAGTTTCAGTGGCTCAAAAATGAGTCTAAGACTATAACAAGTAGTAAACAAAAGATATCTATAATTTCAAAATGTGTGACCTAGTTAGAGAAATAGCATGCTTTGAAATTGGAGACATTAAAAAATCATTAACAATAAAACTCATCTCATATTAGGACTCATTTATATGACTAATTTTTCATATCTTTTATAGAACAATTGAAATTTTGCCATTTTAGATATGATTTCAATCCTAAAGTGAAGAGTCTTGTCTGTTAACTATTAACACTACACTTTCCTAAGGGTTTATGTTCTTTTAAATTTATTGATAATGTGAATTTTAGACATAGTAGAACCTAGAACTATCAACTACAAAGTTACATCTTTATCTCTGTGTGATCTGATCTGGTATTTCAAACTGACATACCTTTTTCCAGTAAATATAGTAGTCCAATATTGTTGGACTCAAAATACAAAATATTTGAAGAAAAATAACAAGGGTAACATACATAACAACTTCTTAACTCAAAAATCGACAACTTCAGGCAATAATATTTTTGCACTTTGTATCCTTTTGAGCAAAAAGACTCCATCGCCCTGGAAAATATTTCCCTTTTCCAACTTTTGGACTTTGTAACTAGTTATTACTTAAAATAGGCTGGGGTAAGAAAGGAGGATAATTAAATAACTGAGTGTAAAAACGTATTATAGAATTAGTTATATGAACCCATTTCTTCCTTTCTCATTTTGGATTAGTTATAATTTTTTAAAACTTTAAACACACACAAAACAATAGCAAAGCTATGCAAGAGCAAAGCTATACACATAGTTCTACTCACAGTGGGACTGTGATTAATGCTATGGCTTGTGTCTTGATGACCCCAAATTCTCACGTGCTCTAGGTAAGGCATTGGCGAGGTGACTGGATCATGGGTGTGGGGTACTGGGTCATGGGGGTGTGATGCTGGGTTAGTCCACTGATTTGCTTAGCATAGTTCTCAGTGTGGATAATATATCTACCGAAGAGGAAAGTCCCACTCTGAGTGTGGGTGGCACAAACCCATAGTTTGTAGTCTGGATGAAATAAAAAGAAAAAGAAGAAAGGCTTGCTTCCTCTTGCCTACTACACGTTGGAGTGTTTTTCCTCTACAATGTCCCTCCGCCATGCTGCCCTGCTTTCAAGCCAGCCGCCTATGGACTGAAACCTCTACAAACTGTGAGATAAAATCAACTTTCTTCTTTCAACTTGTGAGTGTCAGGTGACTTGTCTCAGGACTAAAAAAAGTAACTAACACAACTAATTCAGATTATTAGATGGACAATAATACAGGAAATTTCTCAATTAAAACTTTAACATTAAATTAAGCCTATACAAAGGTTAAGAAAATAACATTTTATCTATTGATCTTGATTTTAATAATATTACTTGAACATACTCTGCACTTTGTCAGTGGAATAAATCTCTTAAGAGATTTGAGGTAGAAAATATCTTTATTTAATCAAACTTAATTTAATTAAAGTTAATGTTTTTTTAATTTGTGGCATTAACATAACATTAATAATTTTTCATAATCCATGTGTTATCATTTTTTTCAAGACAAATAATTTAAAATCAATGGTTTAATCTTAGTTCAGAGTAGATAAAAACTAGATACAAAATTATAGTGCTGATAAAGTTACAATTCTCTATTTTTTAACTATTAAGTTTGTTGGTACAGCTTATATATACGTAACAATCAGAATCATTATAGGGAATTTGTATCTGTATATGATGTATCTTGATGCCTCTTTTCTCCCCTCCCCTCCCCTCCCTTCAATCCCCTTCCCCTTCCCTATTTACAAAGCTTTGCTTCCATTTTACCCTTATTTTATCATTTTTTTCTTTTCCTTTCCTTCCTTTCTCCTTCCCCTCCCCATAATTACCTCCTGTCTTGAACAATTTCTTCCTATTTCATAATACCTATTATATACATTGGTCCTGGCTTGCACTTTCAGTTTCTCACAGTAGAGAAAAACTGATATTTACACATATGTGACTAATTTATTTCACTTAAGAGTATGTTCTCAGGGCGCATTTGTTTACCTAGAAATATCTCGTTTATTCCTCTTTATAGCTGAGTAATACTCTGTTGTATAAAAAAAAGTCTTTCTTATTACAATTCTTTATTCGTAAATAAAATAAGGAACCACAAGGCTGATGATTCAGCTGCTTTATTATGATATGATATTTAATCTCAATATAAGCTGTATTTTGTTATTTATAGATTAGTTTTGCCCATATTATTTAAATAAAATTACTCAGCTCTAAGAATTGTCTTTTCATTAAGTCAAAAAATATAATATGCACAGAAATATACTTAGATATGTCTTTCATACAAACCAAACAGTATTATATCATTTAAAGAAATGATTGCTTACTCTTGTTTTAGAAAACAAATCTCAAAAAAGAAGGAAGCATGCTACAATTAACTCCAATTATAGAGTAGGAAATGAGAGTTTAAAGAAACTAATAATCAAATTCACCCTGCTAGAATTGATAGAGTTCAATTTAATCATTTTAAAAAGTTTTATTAGTGTATATTTACAGGGCATAGTGGTTATATTCCTTGTGAGGACTCAGTACACATACATGGCACATCTTATTTTTTTTTTCATCACTTTTACACTCCCCTCTCTCATATCTCTTGGTCCCTTTCCTTTTTGCAAAAGAACTATCTTCCTGTTTCCTATTATCTACCTTTTATTTTTCTCATTAAGCTATTTATATTTTGGGTTTCTCATATAAGATAAACCATGCATATTTAAACGTGTGTGTTTCATTTATTTTACTGACAGTATGGTCTCAAGGTGCATTCATTTTCCTAACAAATGACTCACTAGTCCCATATCTCTCACCGTGAACTGAACTAAAATCAAAATGCATGCAAGATCTAAATGTGAAAACTGAAACACAATTGAGTTACATTATGAGCGCAATCAAATCTAGCATTTGTGATTGGCTCATTGTGTGGTACTCGGATTGGTGGTGTGAGTGCCACACCCATCTAGAGGTGGAGCCGGGATATGACGTCATGGTGGGAAGAAGGCGTGTCTCTCTCTCTTGCTGGTTTGCACCTTGCTGTTTACTGCTCCGGTGAATGGTGGCCTGCCGTGCCACCCTGCTGCTTGGAGCCAGCTAAGTATGGACCGAAACCTCCAAAACTGTAAGAAATAAACCTTTCCTTTTTTCTTGTTGGGCATTGGGTATTTTGTCTCAGCAACAAGAATGAAAAGTAAGACAGGATCACAGCAAATCAGTTTATATTTGCTGAGTGCATTTTGCAGCTTGGCTCTTGACTTCCTCCCCACGGTCACTGTGTTAGCCACTCGAGGTGGTGCTGATACTCAGTCCCACCACTGTCCTCTATTACTTTTCCAACTGCAGGGGCGGAAAGCTCCCACCTCCTTGCCACTGGGCTTTCATTTCGCTTCTGCCATTGAGAGGTGAGGTTTGGAAGAGATTGTCCAGCAGCAAATTGCTGTTCCACGTTGTTAGTGGCTTCTGCCGACTTGTTGGAATGCTGCACGCCGCTGAGCTCATTCAGTGACAGTTGTTTTCTGGGATCACAGCACTTTTAATCTCCTGCTGCTGGCTGGTTTCCCTGGTTTTCACTCTCACAGCCCTCTCACTGGTTGTATAAGCCCGTAATCTTTGAGATGTCAAGAGCAGTTTCCAAATGACTGACTGAACCTTTCCAGTACAGACTTTGGTTCTAAACTTTGGTATGGACACTTGAGAGATAGTAATCTTGGATCAGCTATTTGGGCTAGGTTTGAAAGCAGTAATGATCTTGTGGCTAACTGATAAAAGTCGGTTATTGGTAATTCACAGCATGCAGAGACAAAGCATTTGCTGATAATCTCAGGCTTGGAATTGTGTGACTCTGAAAGAAAAGACCAAGTGGCTATTCCAACACAACATTCCAGGGTAAATGATTATTATATAATCTTCAGAGTGTTTTGGCTGCTTCTTATTGCAGCGGAGTTTTAGTTGGAAAATGATAAATTTATGGGTTAGTGAAACATAGAGCTTCTATAACAGTCCTAAAAGATCTCTCACCCAAGATGTCCAGAGCCAGATTAAGAATCTGATCCCATAGGTTGTAGATATTAAAAACCAACTGGCTTCACAGTTTCAGCAGGTCTTTTATGTGAAAATGAGGGTTTAGGAAAGATCGAGAACATGAGACCTGGCATGATAACTTTTGGATAGATCCCAGTGACTTGGAGCATTTTGATCTCCTAGCATCACTGAGGCTTCCTTTCTAGAAGCAGCAGCTGCTACCCTTCCACTTCCTCAAGCACTGCCTGATTACCTGCCAGTGACTTCACCCGAGACCATCACTGGCCTGCAGATGCGACTTTTCATCACAGCACAGCTCTGGTACCCTCCTTTCCTCCAGCCCATAATCAGCATCTCATGGTACGGACTTAAACACAGATGCAGACCAAACAGCACACAGCATGCACTTCAGAAAGATGCAAGATGTTCGCTATTTTATATTCAGAGAAACTCAGGGCATATGTGTGAGATATGCATTCTAAGAAAGACCAAAGAATGAACTCACCACTAACATAAGTTAAATTTACTAATGTCCCTGAAACAAAACAACAATATTCTACATTCAATCTGGTGTTTCAAACAGTTGAGAACAACTTTAACAATCTCACTTAGCACTTAATTTAATTTTGGACTCAAATTTTTCCTGCATTAAACAAAGTTGAGATATAAGAAATTGCTTGGTACAACTGAGAAAAGGGAATGCAGTGGCTTAGGAATGAAGAGATGGTTGGAATGAATTTGTCACACGCAACAATTCATTGATTCTTTCACCATAAGGGACTAGAGGGCCCTTCCTCCTAAGGACTTTGGGCAAATATCCTGATTAGGGGCACAAGGATTCATAGTAACTGTGATCTACAGGTCAGGGATGATGGTGGGAGACACTGATACAGCCAGAAAGAGGAAAATTGAGTGAGCCTTCCCTCCCCTTCATTCAGCTGTGGGCATGGCACTGCTCTGATGAGCATCTGGGTTTAAGTTTAAGAGGTTGCGATGCCCACGGCAGCAGACCTTTAGCTCCAACACCCATGAGGGACAGAACAGGAAGCCCCTGGATTAACAGCCACTTGCAGTTGAGGGAGCCACCCTCAGTTGGAGGGTTCTGACCCTTCAGATTGTGAAATCTGGAGTTTGTAGAAGCTCTCTGAGAGTTCCTTTCTGCCTGTTCCTGCTGCCTTTATGCCCGTTTCTACTACTGTCCCGTGTTCTTCAGTAAAAGTAGCTACTTACTACAAGGTGTACACTTGGCAATTCTGTTTCCCAGTTGTACACAAGGACCTGGACTGTTTGAGCCTGCTGAACTGTAACGATATCATCAAAATGGGCTATTGTGTTTAAAAAATAAATAGGGTATTGTGGGTTACTAGAAGCCATTGGTCACACTGTAATAGCAGGAACAAATGAAACTTTTAAAGTGAATAGTTTAGCTTGAATAGTGAACAGAAAAGTTTTATTGTAATTAGTTTTAGCAGTGACTAACTTATCATGGTATATTCAAGACTGAAAAAATTAAGAAGCCTGATACAATAGTACTTAAAAATATGTAATTGAAAAAGTTTAAATGTTAATTCAAAATAATGGTAGCAATAAACCATTTTCTCCTTAAAATGTTCCTTCTATCTTGAATGCCTGATGGTACATGTATCACTGTCCTATCCATTTTTTTATACAAACAGATCTAATCATTTTTATTGTTCTTTTTACTAGTGAAATTAATAAAAAGTCTATAAGTGAATGGGTTATAGTTAGTTGTTTGAAATTAAATAATTATTGCCCAATACAATTATTAATTAGTACTTTTCATACCAATTTAAAAATGGTTACGTGATCAACAAATGTATTTCATTAAATTAAAAGGAATTTTCTGGGGATTTGGCTCAGTGGTGTAAGCGCCTGCCTAACAAGCATGAGGTCTTGAGTTCCATCCCCGGTACAAAACAAAAATAAATAAAAAATAAAAGGAATTTACCTATATTCATGAATAGTTTATCAATTAATTCTCTAAACTTTAAAATGGAAGTTTTAAAGTATCCCATTGCGGGTGTATACAATATAATATATATTTCTAATTCCCGTACCTCAAATTTGCTGTACTGTAATACAAGCTTTTTATACCATTTGAATGTGTTCCCTGAGAAACTGTAAGATGATGACATCGAGCCTGGTAATTAATACCTTTCATTACATTATTGCAATCAAAGAGGCCCAAAAAGGGAGTACAAGCCACCTGATGGGACAGCTATACATACACTGTGGTGGGTTCAAGCTGGAGACGGTACCTACTGAATTCAAATGACAGCCAGCCAGCAGTGAGTCACAAGTTATGGCCCTGTCCTGAATGTGTTAATTCCCAGACTTAAACCAACTCTAAGATCAAGAATACTTTGAGTAAGGAGAGACTGTCTCCCTGAGAAGAGCTGGGACACTGCTGTCATACCCATTGATGGTAAATCTGTATTCCAGGCTCATCAACAGGACAGTTGGCTTTTAGACATGGTGACGGGCTGTCAACTGGAGAAATGCAGTTTTCAGGATGTTGGAAGATTTATTAGACAATTGTCTTGGGCTGAAATGGGAAACTTAAATGCAACACTGTCCCATCCGACTGAGGCCGGGAGGGTCTTGGCCTGTGTCTGTGTCACAGTACTCTTCATGGGTCTTCAGAAATACAGTGGTTATATTCCATTTCCCAGTTGCACAACTGATTTAGATGTATTTTTCAGCAGGCTGAATTCCCACAAGGAAGCAGGGCTACTATGGAAGGAAGCGACAGCGGGGGGCCCTACAACCACTGCCAAAATTTAAACAGAAGTACGCAGACAGTCCTGGGGAATTTTAAAGACTAATACAATGTAAAACCACTGAAAGATGCTAGGGATTTGAGTCCTGTAACATCCTGATGTGATTTACCTAGCTGGCTCAGTCTAGAGGATAAGAGATATGAAGGTATTAACAATGGAGCTATCAGGGTACAGATAACATGGAAGTGTTCTGCCTATGAATGTGTTAATCAAAGCCCACTCACTGTGAATGTCCATCAGCATCTCCCCTCAGGACCTTAGTGTTGGCTCTGTGAACCCATGAACTAAATATGCCTGGTAATAGGACCGACGATATTAATGGTTTTTAAAAATAGGGGTTTCCTCTAGGTAAAAATGATCTGAATATGATCTGTGCTGAGCCAGCCTGCCAACAGCAGAGACCAATTTGGACCTACGCTATTATTTTCCAGAGTAATTAACCAACCTCCTGGTACCAAGCTGGCTACATTGGAACTATTTTATGATGGAGAGAGTAGCTACATGTTCTTACTATAGTAGTTGCTCTAGCTATGAATTAGACTACCCACTCTTAGTGTTTCAGGCTGGATCATCTTCTGTAATGTAATAATCTGCCCTTGGGCTTTGTGGATTCTGAGATATTGGTTTCCAAGAAAGAACAGTTTAACCAGAGCACATTATGAACTTGGAATTCAAATTGTAACATGGACACATTGAACTTATGATGTCATTAAAATAACAAAGAAAAGGGATATTGTGCTGATTGGGCTAATTGATCCTGTTTATTGAGGGAATATAAAATAGGGATGGTGCATTTTGATTTAGTGTGTGGTGAGAATTTCTGGTCTAGTTTTAGTCTTTGGCATGTGGAAATAGTCTTCCAGAACCATTTATTAAACAGGCTATCTTCCTTCCAGTGAAGGTGTTTAGTCCCTTTGTGGAAGATAAGATAGATAGGTGACTGTGTTTGGAGTTGTTTTTGCACCTTCAAATCTGTTCTGTTGATCTTTGGTCTATCTTTGTGAAAGCATTGTGCTGTTTCTTAACACAGTAGAAATCAATGTGGTGATTCCTCAAAAAACTAAAACTAGAGATTCTGCTTCTTGATATCTTCCTGAAAGAATTAAAAGAATCATACCCCAGTAATATATGTGCATCCATATTTATAGCTCACAGTTTGTAATATCTAAATCTTGGAAATAGTGCAAACATTCATCAATCAATGAATGGATAAAGAAGATGTGGTGTTTTTTTATATAATGGAGCACTATGCAGCCATAAAGAGGATAAACTTGAAACATTTCTAGGTAAATGGATGCAC